AAATGTATTGTTCAAAACAATTTGGGTGTTGAAAATGTGATGATACTTATTATTTTGATGAGTCAACAAACCCAATGTGAAAGTGTGATTCCAAGTTGTTTGACTTGTGTGAACTTTCAACAAAATGTCTCAGCTGTCCACAAAACACATATTTGTCAAATTACAAATGCAACACAAACAATGACTTAAATTTGACGTGTGACTGGTATGCAAGTTTTGGGAGTGGCTGTGTTGTGTGCAAAGACGGGTATTATCGTGTTGGACTTGACTGTTTTGAATGTGATTTGAAATGTGAAAAGTGTCTTAATTCAAATAGTTGTTTCACCTGCAATTCAACAAATTACACAACTAAAGGCGGTGACTGTCTGCCACAAAGTGAAATTGTTGGGTGTGCTGTGAATGTCACACAAAGTGGGTGTTTAAAGTGTCAAGATGGGTATTATACAGTCAACACAAACGAGTGTTATAAATGTGATTATAACTGTAATACATGCACATTAAACAGAACAAATGCACTTCTTGTGTTGATTCACTTGTGTTACTTGCAAATGGAAGTTGTGTTGGCGTATCACATGTTTCAAAATGCAAAGAAATTACAAATTCAAAATGTTCAAAATGTCATTTTGGTACACTTCAAATAAAGACGGCACAATGTGTAGGTCGCAAACTGTTTGGTGGGTCATTCTTATTGTTGTCGTGTTTGTAGTCATTGTGTTATTTGTTTTGATCGTGACAATTATAATTGTTACAAAGATCATTCTCAACAAATTCCACACACATAAAATTGAGAAAACAACAACACTTTTTGCAATGAACAAATCCAATATCAACTTTGTTCCTCTCCAAGGCGGTGTCTGTGTATCGTCAAATGTGATCGACTTGAATTCAGACATCGAGCAAATTGAAGTTAACAAAGAGACTCGGCAGGTGTTGTGTGTTGGAAATACAAATAAAACTGCCACCAAAATACAGTTCACGATTGCATCAAACATCACAAAGTTTACAATTCGTGTTGATCCAGAAGTTGTCACACTTGAAAGCGGGTTTGCATGTGAATTTTCTGTATATGTCAAGCCGTTGTGTTCGTGTAAAATCAACAACACAATTCAAATGATTTCTAAAAATTTCAAAACGAACAAAGAGAAATACAACGAAATCTCAATTGTTGGTGTGACACAACAATCAACTCGAATTGATTATGACGAGTTGACAGAGATGAAAACT